GGTTGAACGTTGGGAGTGGATTGCCGAACATGATGGCGAATACATAATTGATTAATAAAAGCGCTTTCTTCAAAAAATTTCAATTTTAGTTTGCACTTGAAATCGGGCACGAACTTATGCACTCATCTAATATATAAGCTTATATGTATGAATTATAAATGTTCTCCTATAATATCAAAATATTTAGAACAAAATTTTGATGTTTTTCTAAACAATTAGCTCTGTATATATAGCACATTTCAGTATCATTCATATAAATACATGAAATTCTATTACACTTTTGATTCGATTTTTCTAAGTGTTATAAGGAAAAGAGATAAATAAATCAAAATTCTTAGCCATAGTATAAAGGTAACTGTGTTTTTAGCCATACATATATGTTTTCCTAAAAGCTGGTAGAACTGATGAATTCTTCGTTATGATACATCGAACTTTTCGAACACTATTTTTTTATATAAATTTACCTTATCGAGCTTATGAGAAATCACCATTTTTAGAGTACAAGACTATGCTTACCGTTGACGTCACTAACGACGAACCAACCACGAGGAGACTTCATACTTATATAACCAAAAAACAACTATTTTTTGTTTAAAAAATGTACATGGTTTAATCAGAAAAGGTGTGATCGACAGCTTTGTCAAACAACTAACTTTGACAAAATCGGCAATCTTATTGGAAGTGCAGCGTATTATAAATCAGCGTTGTTACAGAAACCGATACTAAAATGTTTATTTATCGTAATTAAAAATCAATATCTGCTTCAAGTGGTGCTACGAAACCGACTTGATTTTGCTTTTTTGGAAAGAAAAAACAGATTTTCAAATCAATTGGAAACAAACTCGTGCAAAAATCGCAGTAATTTAATTTAATTTTTGTTTTTTCTTTAACACATTTGTGTTAAATTCAAAATCAAATAATTTCAGCCGTGATAGCATTTTTGAGGATCCAGCGAGAAAATGAAGTGCAGATATAAAGACGCTGTTATTCCTGTCAAAAGGACACCGCAACGGAGTTGTCTCTCTTTGTAAATCCCTTAGCCAAATGCGGATTGTTTTCCATCAACTCAATAAAAAATACTAATTTTTATGTTTTAACCTAGTTTCAAAATTAATTTATAAATTTAAATATTTTGTAAAACCCACTGTTCATGACTTACATTTTTACTAAATTTTGCACCCAATTCTGTCAACGGTTAACTGCACAGTATAGTTCTGACACCGTTTCTGTTTCGAAAATGAAACCAATGTGCAAATCAATATTCCGAATGTGTAGACCCTTAAGCGGTTTCAATTATGATTCTGACATCAATCTGATTCTGTAACACTCCCTGAACAGGAAATACGATTATAAATACTCCATTCATGTAATTTTTTTTTATTAAGTTTTTACACCTCTTTACTACTTTACTATTCCTTGCCGTACAGTTTTGGCTGCCAAAGAGCATTGGGTTAAAACCCAGTTTGGAACCACTTGATAAAGTCTGAACACACTAGCAAGCTCGATGTATGGGTGTCACATGAATTAACTACAAAAAAACGCATGCTTCGAATTTCCATCTGCGAATCGCGGATGAATCGTAGCAAAATCGACCCGATTTCTGGGGGAAAGTGGATAACTTACAGCAACACCAAATGAAAATGATCGTAGTCGAAAGGCAGTAAGTCGGCACAAACCGTCTCCACAGCAGCAATGACGGCTGGAAAGTTTCTATTGTGTGTTTGGCAGGATTAGCACAAAATCATCCACTGTTAGCTACTTTCCTCCGACCAAACTCTAAATTCGTTCTTATCAAGAAGCACCCAGCTTTGGCCAATAAGAGGGCAGTTATGTTACATCAGGACAAGGCCAGACCACACGCATCGATACTCACTCACACGAAGCTCCAAGAACTTGGTTGGGTGGTTCTTATGTATTTAACTCATAGTTCGGAGCTCCCACCAAGTGATTACCCTAACATCTTCCTGTCTAAGGCAAATAATTTTGCAGGTGAAGAATTGTGCTGAAACGAGCCCTGTGAAAATAGATTGTCCCAATTTTTAGCCAATAGCAACAATGGCTTCTTTGCACAATATGTCGGACAAAAGCGATCCCGAAAATTGGAACTTAAGTATGATTTGCCCAATCCATGAGAAAGAGGGACCCCACTATCTGCACAAATTACCGTCGGACAAGTGTCCTAAGCACCGCATATATGGTCCTATCGTACCTTATATGTGACAGACTAAAATCCAACAAGCTGATGGGACCTCATGAGTGGCTTTAGACCTGGTAAATCAAACATTGATCACATGTTCACCATGCGCCAAATCTTGAAAAAGACCCCTGAAAAATAATTGATATATATCACCTTTGCTTCGAACAACACCATATCGCAGTTGGTACCAAACGAGGTTGCAGGTGAGGTGAAGAGGTGGGATTTCTTTAATTTGATGCTAGAGAAAAGAAGCACATTAATGTCAGCCTTTATATCCAACGCATAATAATTCTTGCCAAGAGGTGCTACTTTGGACTGAGGAAGCAATTTAAAGGTAATGTCCTCTCTCGACGAACAAAAACTAAACTCTGCATTTCCCGCAACATTCTTGTCCTACTGTATGGTACAGAAGGGTGGACGATGTCAATATCTGATGAGCCGACTTTTGGCTACGGCGAATACCACAAGCGATAGAACGATGAGTACGAGTGCGAGTGACATTGACATAGTTGAACGAATCCAGAAACAGCGTCTACGCTGGCTAGATCATGTCGTCTGAATGGATGGAAGCGCTCCAATTGTAAAAGTATTTGATATGGCAACCGCGGTTGGAAGTAGAGGAAGGGAAAGACCTTCACTTCGTTGGAAGGATCAGGTGAAGAGCGATCTGGTGCTCTTATTGCAATTATTACACTTGTACTCCTTTGACAACTCATGTATGCATCGAAAAATCTACAAATTATTCTCAAAACAAACAAAAAGCTAAATAATGCATGTACAATCTGGCGCACAATAAATATGTACATACAAATCAACTGTTTGCATACCACTAATTTTTATTTCCGTTCACAAAATCGGCGGCAGAATTTATATAAATATTATTTCTCGGCTACCAAATATTTGAAAACAAAATGAAAATCACTAAATAAACAGACAATGTGACCCTTCGACAGTAACAATATTCAAATGTTACACAGAAACACATCACACACAACTACACTGAACATATGTAGCCATAACAGCCAACATCATAATCGCCCAAGTGACACGGTACAACAAACGACACTCGATAAAGCTAAACATTTCCAGCACTCCCACGCCAACCAAACAAATAATCCTTGTCATCATCGTCATGGACATGAGTGAACGGTCCCAGTGCACCAATTGTTACAACAAATATACTATACGAGTATTGTCCTGACAATGTGGCACATTCAAATTGATACTCACGCACATTTGCCATTTATTGATAATCCTCTACGTGTGGAAAATACCCATACCTGTGGTACACATACAGATATGTACATATTTGTGTTTGAAAGTCAAAACGATTTACTCCCGAATAAATTGATTGGTAATTTCAAATGAGATGCTGGTACCATTTGGAATCATGAAGGTAACCATAACTACATTCATTTTGGCGAGGAATGTTCAAAAAAGGAAAATTTGTTTTAATATGTTGGTATTACTTGGCTTTTAAGTGTGATAAACAAAAATTCTTCTCCTTCCATTTTTGATTTTGTCAATAACAACCACTATAGCAGTGATCCTAAAGCATTGTGCCGCGGTCATTCAGTGTGCTGCCAAATTTTACGGATGTATACAATAAATAACGGTGGAGGCTCTCGCTGTCTGGTTATATGAAATATTCACGGTAACGAATATTCTATTCGCGGTTGCAGAGCAATTACAAAATAGTTTACAGCATTCATGGTTACTCCTATCTTTTCACAGCTTGGCGGCAATTGAAAATACCAAGAACGGCCAGGAATTATCTATGTGATCTTTTCATCGGAGTGGACGTTCCTCTTCCTCTGCTTCCACCGGCAGGTAGCGCATTGAAAGTGTTCAAAGCTGGAGTTGCCGGCGCAAACTGCTGTTCCTTGATTCGCTGAAATATGTCAATGTCACCGTGTATCTCGTACATCGTTGCATCAGCTGTGGTATTTGCCGTTCCTAACTCATAGCACCATATAGCAAATGGGTGACTTGTAGAGTTTGATCTTCGTTCGTCGACTGATTACTCAAATCAAAGTAGCACCTGTTGGCAAGAGTAATTCTGCGTTAAATTGGCATTGTTTTTTGTGTTAACACTGGATCCAAGATAAACGAAATTATCTACGATATAGAAGTTATGACTGCCAATAGTGACGTAACCGAGTAGCTACCAGTACCTAGCGACGCAGAGGTAGCTCATTTTCGTACTATCAAAGGCTGATCGGCAAAGAAGTGGTCAGCTTTTTTTTCACATTGCAGATGTGTGCCCTATAGTGGATTTTTCAGGTCTAAAGATCCAGTCGGTTTGCTGATGGTGGTCGTAAGTATTTCACACAATACGTACGGAGGATCTTATATGCAATTTTAAAAAGGTTAACCCCACGGTAATTGACGCAGACTATTGTATTACCCTTTTTTGTGGTTTGGGCAGAGCACACTTAGGTTCCAAGGCAAAGGAGTTGCTGCATGCAACTTATCACTTCTTCACCGCCGTTTTTGAAAAGATCGGCCGACAATTCATCGACCCCCGGCGCTTTGTTTTTTTTCAGGCGGGCGATTGCTTTTGGAACTTCTTCATAGTCGGGCAATGAAACATTTTTTTCATCATTATCAACTCGAGTTCGCCGTTATCTGGTACACCACTGCAAAAGTGGCTGCAAAAGCGTTCTCTCCATAAATTCACTACACTCCGGGCATGATTCACCAGATAACATCTCTGTGTACTACAAGAGCTGGCTCCGATCTTGAGTAAGGTGCTTAAAATTCCGTCTCACAATTCCCTTATACCGTCCTGCTGATCAGGGCTCTCAGAGAGCAGAAGTGCAAGTCGAGTAGAAAACCGTTCGTGTTTGTTGTGATTACAGCTTTCTTCCATCTATGCCTCTTGTCACGACGGTGATGACAGTCTTTTATTTAACGTGGACATCAACCAGCTGGGTAGCGGTACGTTTTCGATGAAGAGGCCAGACTTGCCAGGTTCTCAAATTGTTGAAGTGGCCATTATTAGTTTTTTTCATTGGAGCTGGTTTCTACGTCGTGGGCCTAGCGCACGATTTCGAAATAAGTTTAAAGTTTTTTACACATTAATATAGCGAGCCGATTGCTTCAAGACCGACACAAACAACCCTGAAATTACACTTCATCGAACCTTTAAACCGAATAAATCGGAATAGCTCCTCTGGCCCAAGACTCCACACTTAGTTGGCGTAATATAACATCAACATCTGAAAATATTCAATACTAAAAAAAATCAGATTTAAATTTACACCATATACATATATTTGTGGTAGAAAAATCGCTTAACCTTAAATGAATTCTGATTATAATTGAGTATGGTTACTCGCCGTAATTAAAGTTTTCATATGTTCAATGTTATTGTATTTGTGTGCTGCGGAAGTTGGAAAATAGTTTTGACGGTTCTGCATGCCTAGAGACAAATTATGATTTCTCTTGTCTGGCATTGAGTAAAAAATAATTTTTATATGCTCATACAAACATTCATAAATTCATACTTTACATATGAGAATAGACATGGAAAATTATATAACTTTTTAGCATTCAATTTGTTTGAAAATAAACTAATTATACGACAAAACAATATGATAAAATTCAAATTACTTCACTTATTTAAACAAAACCGCACCAATTAGTATATACTCGTATTTATATATGTATTAATAAATAGATTTGTATAAAGAAAACTTCAAATGCTATAAATGTTTGCATGATATTTGCTTTGTTTCTCTTTTTCTACTTTGTTATTAACAATTCTTGTCCATGAACCAATGAACCAAATTTGGTATTTCTTCCCTAGATCATCAATTTTACCATAAATGGGCATTACTCACCGATCCAGATGATTTCTATAGCGGACCGAAGGGTTATTTGAAATGTGATATTGGCATTATTGGTAAAGGTGATACCGTGAAGGTGCCTCAAAAATCCGAAAAGGATCCTGACGACATCGAAGCGTAAGTCAAATTACACGCAAGTATATATGTGTTGGAATATCGATTTATAAAATACGAGTAAATGTATTAGAGCTGTAGATACCCGATATCGAACCCTGTCAGCTGCTCAGTACTCGTTTGTTACTCAACTATTCAAATGATAAATTTCAATCTAAAAAATTTAAATTTTGTTTGTCGAAATTTCTTTAGGATTTCAATGAGTTTTATACTTTGCATTAATAAAATTAAAGTTATAGAAGAAAGTCAGAGATAGCACGAAAATTTTTATTCAAAATGCTTGAGAAAAGTCGAATTGCTCGAGCTCAAGCTCGATAATTTTCGAACAAAATTTTGAACTCTAATATTTACATGTATGTATGTATATAAATTATTATATATGTGTACATAAGTTTTTTTTAGCCAAAACTTTTATTTTTGATACAGCCCACTTTTATGACCCGGCCGATCTCAATTCAATAACAATCCCTGAGAGCCAGATCAAAAAATTTTTGACGTGTGTAGTATTTTGAACTCTTTTCTCTCGCAAATCTTTTTTCCTTTTTAATGTGCCATAAAACTAAGCATTCTGATTCGGTAATACAGAAAGCTATCGAGCTCATCGTTTCATGCATGTAGCTAACAATAAAATACTTCTATACTACAAACGGCGGCTGAATCAGCCGAGTGGTTAACATTGCGTACTGCAATTCGGAAGGCTCGAGTTCGAGTACTGGTCCATCCCACATCGAAAAGTTTTCGAACATTTATTTAAATTTTCTCATTGCGGTCTCCCCTAGGCAAGGAATCTCAGCTCCTACGAGTATGTTTATGACATGAATTAAAGGCGGAGGCGGCTTAGTATAAATAGTGGTTCCCTCTTGCTGGAAAACCACTAAAACACTTATCGTAAATTGGGCTGAGGGCTATTGTTGGTGTGTCATATGGAAGCTGAGACCCCTAAAAAATTTGGCTATATACATATATGCCAATATCATATATATATATCCAAACATGACAATAGCCAATGCCTTGAAATTTCTAGGTGAATTCGAAACTTTGCCCCAAAATTGGGTATTAAATGTAGAGAAAATCATTATGGTATAGGAAAATTAAAAAAAAATAATAAAGTCTGGTTGAAAAGCGAACTTCTTTCGATAAGCTTAACTTCAAATATTGGGAAGCCTAGCAAAAGAAATGCATGGCGGTAGCTTCGCTGATACTTCGTGAACAACTGCCGAATATTTGTAATTCAATCTGACGATATAAAACCCATTATTATTATACGACTGAGGAAGATTTATATAGTGATGGTGGTTACACAAAAGTATTTATATGGACTAAATATAGAAATGCAAACATTTTGCCCACCTATAATATTCGACGGGTTGCTGAGAAGCTGTGCTACCCCAATGAGCTATAAGCTACCGATCATTTGATTTGAGGTATCTTTACAATCCTTGGTTGATCCCACTATGTCCAGAATAGCGCATAGGCAAGAGCTTCAAATTTCAGAAAATAATAATATCGCAGAGAAAGCTGCCATATAAATATGAGGATTATGATAAAAGTAATGGAACGCAAATTATCGAATTTGAAGTATGCTTTTTGCGCTTACAAATAACTTCCGAATCAACTAAACTTTTGAAACAAACGAAATCTTCAACCACTCGCCATTGAAACCAAAAATGAATCAGTAGACTTGGTTCGTAAGGAAGTGAATAATGTCAGAAAGCAAATTCTCCAAATACGCCGACTAGAGTCGAAAATTATCACAGTTCATCATTGATTTCATATGACCATGATCGAAGGAAAAGTATTTAATGTTGTCGCGGAATCATCGTCCAAAAAAATGGGGAATTGAGGATCTATCGCCAAAAAAATGGTTAGAAATTTACCCTGTAAAGAGAATTAAGTTGAACGTGGGTTATCAACTCTATAAGACTGAATTCGCCAACAGAATTCCAATCCAAAAATGTCAAGTCCGCAATTCGGATAAGGCAACAATGATTGAAAAAAGGCTGAAATCCAAAACAAACTGAGGAATGAAACATCTGTATTGGTAGATATCCCTATGCCCGGTTCAGGTACAACAAATAATGGAAATACAACTAAAAAAATTTTCCAGCGACCTGAATTAGCTGCTCAAACAACTGTGGTAAACTATTCACTAATTCACCGCTTTAGTGTTATTCTGCGTTTAATTGCTACTGGCCATGAAATAAACCCTTAAACGTTATATGATAGTGCCTCAGACACTGAATAACTCCCTTTAAAAAATATATATACATACATAAAATTGTTTTCCTATTAATTTTTTTTATATTTTTTGATTAAATGTACTCTTATCTGTAAATGAAAATTAACCCCATAAAAATCCGTAAATTTTTATGGGAGTTATTACTTAATCCACGCTAGCCTGGACTTTTCGCCCACTGTGCAGCGTTTACTGCCGTTTTCTAAAGGTCTTGTGAACCTTACCTCAATTGTGCGATTACCTCTAAATTTTTTGTGAAATAAATTGAGGTGAAATTTGAAATAAGATCACTTCTTAAAGATTTCCTATTGAAGATCATAAATATACAATATAAAGGTACTTATTGCTGGAAAACGAAAACAATTACAATATCAATTTCATTTTTTCATATTTGTTTGGAAACCAGTAATTTACTGCTACCTGTTGGCGTACCGATCGAGCGTCAACGTGCAAAGTTTATTGTGAAGGTATATAGAGCCGATGGTTTACCCCGAATGAATTCTTCGCTAATGGCTAATGTGAAAAAAGCATTTACGGGTGAGTCGAAAGATTTGGTGAGCCCCTACGTACAGGTCTCCTTCGCAGGTCTAATGGTAAGTTCTTGAAACTAATTGAGAAGTCTTAATATTATTGAATTTTATTAATCAAAAGGGTAAGACCACAGTTAAGAAGAACGCGTACGCTCCGGTTTGGAATGAACAATTGGTATTTACGGAAATGTTTCCACCGTTGTGCCAGCGTATTAAGGTTTGACACTTCTTTTTTGACAACTCCATTGGAGTGAGCGCTGAGGGTTTTTATTTAATTTTAGATTCAATTACGCGACGCGGACCCCATGAAACCCGCAATTATAGGTACATATTACATTGATCTAAAACAAATCTCAAATGATGGCGATCGAGGTTTCCTGCCAACTTTCGGGCCATCGTTTATACATCTTTATGGTTCTACGCGTGACTACACGCTGCTCGATCAACACTCGAATCTAAATACTGGCTTGGGCGAAGGCGTTAGCTATCGCGCCCGTCTCTTACTCGCTATACGCACTGAAATTACCGACAACATAGAAATCGCTACAGAGAAAAATGTTGAACTTGAGCCAGCATATCCGATTTCGGAGTCCTCATACTCACGTAATGAGGAATTTTTTCTCTTCGGTTCTATAATTGAAGCATCAATGTTGGATAAGAAAGTCAGTGATAAGACGGTGTTTTTTGAGCTTAGTATGGGCAATGCAGGTAATTCACTGGACGGGCATAATGAGAGTTTCTCAACTGCTACGGAGGACGGAGAGGATGGCTGTGTGCTGGAAACGGTGGATACAACTTCGTTTAGTAGCGTCACCAACGCATGTAAGCCAATCAGTCATGATAAATCACATTACTATCTGCCCTACTGGGACTATAAGCCATGCATGGACGTGAGGTGCACGTTACCGGACTTAAGACGACGCATGTACAACAGTAATATGTTAGCAAAAATGTCGGAGAAATTGGTAAGTTTATGAAAGAAGAAAGATACTGCACTTATTGATTATGGACCACATAGGAGGAGGGCTTGTCAAAAACCAGCAAACTGATTGAAGAGGAAGACGTCAAGGCAGAAGTACGTCTACGCTCCACACTTGAAGATCTTGCATCAGCATGCACGCGGTATTTAAGCATAACTAAAGCCAATGCCCTTGGACCGGGTAGCGGTAAAACGAAATTGGACAAAGAACGTATAAAACTCTGCCAAAGTGAAATTGTAAGTATTGGAAAAGCTTTGGGAAACCTGTATGTCAATTCTGATCTGACTTTCCCTTATTTATGTAGGAAACTCTGGGTAACTTAGCTCGTAATCTCCGAGCGCTGGTTACGCGTAGCTCTCTTAAAGAGCGTTTCAAAACTGCACAGACGTTTCAGCAAAAACTCAAATTTCTTATTGATGATGTAAGTCAATCTCTTCTGACACGTGCAAATGTAGGTTAAAATTGTATGTATTAATTTTATCTTACCAAGCCGCAACACTCTCTGCCGGATATTTTCATTTGGCTCATCGCTAATGGTAAACGTTATGCGTATCATCGCATGTCCGCACGTGAGTTGATTTACTCCAATATTGAAGAGGAGTGTGGTGTGCATTGCGCGAAGACCCAGACCATATTCTTGAGGCTACCGGGAAACCAGGCGATAGGCCCAGCAAGTTGGTTCATACAGGCCAAACTTTCTATTTACTTGTGGTTGGGAGTTGTGGGGCACAAGGGACATTTTTTCGACGGTTTACCAATCGGCTATGATCTCTCGCATGAGCTACGGAATGCTGAGAGGCCTGGCGCCATGGCGCCAAACAATATACATTATCTTGAGAAATCTGTAAGTAAAGCGTGGCAAAAATGTACTTTCATTAGGTAACTATGTCTTTTCTTTTGTAGACTTTTCAATTGCGTGCACACATTTATCAAGCTCGCTCGCTAATTGGTTCTGATGCGTCGGGTCTCAGCGACCCCTATGCCACTGTTTACATTACTGAATTCGCTAAAACCACTCAAGTGATCGAGGAGACCTTGAGTCCAACATGGGATGAGTTACTGGTGTTTGATGAAATTTTAGTTTTTGGCACGAAAGATGAGATAAAAAAAGATCCACCCACTATTATAATTGAAATATACGATCAAGATAAAGTTGGCAAATCGGAATTCATTGGCCGTGCCATCGCGAAACCACGTGTGAAACTACGGGAGAACGCCTATACGACACCAACTCTGGAATGGTTTGATATTGTACGTGGGCATGAGAATGCCGGTGAATTGTTGGCCGCATTTGAAATGCTTGAAATCGGCTCCTCCGATATACCACGACTGACGGAACCTAAACAACTACCGATTAGCCAATTGGAAAAGGCCAAAGATAAAAATGTACCTCCACCACCGGGCACAATTCTGCCAGTGCCAAAAGAAGTCCGCCCGCATTTGGCGAAATTCAAACTGGAAGTACTATTTTGGGGCTTGCGCGATTTGAAGCGTGTGCACTTGATGTCTGTCGATAAGCCACGTATCGATGTTGAATGTTCGGGCAAGATATTGAGCTCAAATATTATACAAAATGCAAAAAAGAATCCGAATTTCCCCAGCATGCTGAAATCTATAGAATTGGAGTTACCTTTAGAGGAAACTTATGCACCGCCAATAACTATACGTTGCGTTGACTGTCGGTCATTTGGCCGATATACTTTGGTGGGCACTCATCAAATCACCTCCATACACCGATATATCTATAAACCGCCTCCGAAGGAGGACATAACCAAGTACAAAACTATGGGCGGACAGATTATTCTCTCCGCACCACTGAATGAAGAGGGACTGAGTAATCTCGTGGATGGATTCAACATGCAAGCTCTGATTGCAGCAAACGCACAGCAAGCAAACATGAAAGACTTCTATGGAAATCGTCGTTCGTCTTGTGATCAGTTTACACTCTACGGTGCAGCATGCGTCACGAAGCTGTAAGTAAAAATTTTGTTTGGTCTTCGGAAAAAGTTATAATTTAGTCATACATTTTTTATAGCGCCAAGAAGCAAACGTCAAAGAAAAGATCGGCTCAAATGAACAATATTAATGACATAATGATCGAACAGGATCACGACGATGAGTTAAGTCGGGATTGGTGGACAAAGTATTTTTACTCTTACGAGCGACTAATTGATTTAACGAAAACAGAGAAAACGCAAACCTCCGAAAAATTTCTCACCCCGCCGCCAAATTCTACAACTACAAATGTGCAAAAATTCGGCTTAAAGGGAGCCAAGTTAGTGCAAAAATTGAGTCCGAAAGGAATGAGCGGAATTGCACGTGGAAAGCAGGAACCCAACAGCGAAAAGGTATCACCTAACCAACTAACCAATAAGAACAATATGAATTCAACGGCGGTGTGTCAGGTAGATAATTCATAATAAAAAAATTCAGGGTTATTAATATATATTTTAAACTATATTCGAAGATCTATCCCAACGAACTTGAGTCCCAAACGGAGTATAATTACTTCCGAGAGTGGCTGCATTCCTTTCCACTTTATCGAGGGAAGAAAACCGGTGATTCCGCCGAAGACGATAATCGCACCGTTGGCTTCTTTAAAGGAGCCATCAAAGTTTACAAATTACCACCACCAAAAGGCACTGAATTGCCTATACATAACCTACCCGCTAACGATCCACTCCACGTACTGGTACGTATCTATATAATTAAAGGTACGGACTTGCATCCGATGGACTTGAATGGCAAAGCGGATCCATATGTTGTGCTACAATTGGGTAACAAGAGAATATCGGATAAGGAGAATTACGTTAGCAAACAACTAAATCCGATATTCGGTAAATGTTTCGAGGTGGAAGCGACCTTCCCACAGGATTCTATGCTGACCGTTCAAATACTAGATTGGGATTTGGTGGGTTCTGATGATTTGATTGGTGAAACGCGAATTGATTTGGAGAATCGCTATTACAGCAAACATCGAGCAACCTGTGGAATTTCTCTGAGATATGAAGTGTAAGTAAGATTCAACCGAATCTGCGAAACTATTTAGCTTTATACAAAATATTCTTTACTTGAATTTGCAACAGTTGTGGCTACAATCAGTGGCGTGATCCAATGAAACCTACGCAGATTCTATCTAAACTTTGTAAGGAAAACAAATTAGATACGCCACATTATTTTCAAGATCGAGTAGCGATCGGCAAATACTGCATGACCTTCTCAGATGAAGAAGTAATAGCATGGAATGGACCAACCACCTGCCGTAATCGTGATGAGCATCTGGCGCTGGCCGTCTTGCATAGATGGAGTGAAATACCCAAAGTGGGCTGCAGGGTATAAAATTGCTAATAATACTCTTTTCGAAGCTAGAATTTTAATTGAACACACTTTTGTTTACAGATTGTGCCCGAGCACATTGAATCGCGTCCACTGTACAACCCCGAAAAACCTGGCATTGAACAGGGGAAAATTGAAATGTGGGTTGATATGTTCCCCATGGATATGCCACTACCGGGCCCTCCAGTTGATATATCACCTAGAAAACCGAAGGAGTATGAGTTGCGTGTAGTTATATGGAACACCGATGACGTAGTATTAGAAGACGATGCATTCTTTACTGGCGAAAAGATGTCTGATATCTATGTTAAAGGGTAAATTGACAATTCACATAAATATTATCAGAAATATCAGGTGTATATTTCATTTTATTTTCATCAGTTGGCTGACGGGACCTCAAGATATGCAATCGACAGACATTCATTATCGCTCGCTTACCGGTGAGGGTAATTTTAACTGGCGTTTCATCTTTCCCTTTGAGTATTTGGCGGCAGAGGAGCGTATTGTGCTTTCCAGACGCGAATCACTATTCAGTTGGGATGAGACAGAAGTAAAAATACCAGCGCGTCTGGAATTACAAGTGTGGGATGCTGATCATTTCTCAGCGGATGACTTTCTTGGTACATCATTGAATGAATAATTTAATATAATATGTATTATATTTATATTTAATTTCATGCAGGCGCGATTTCTTTCAATCTGAATCGTTTTCCACGTGGAGCGAAAACTTCAAAACTCTGCACATTAAATATGCTCAAATCAGATACTAACTTGCCAACTGTTAATATTTTCAAACAAAAGCGGGTACGAGGTTGGTGGCCATTTTATGTGAAGAAGCAAAATGAAGAAATGGAGTTAACTGGCAAAGTGGAAGCTGAGTTTCATTTATTAACAAAAGAAGAAGCCGAACAAAATCCGGCTGGATATGGACGTAGTGAACCCGATCCACTAGAGAAACCAAAGTAACTATAACTTTGTCATGTAAAATATATGCATATATATATTTAACGAATATTTCTCTCTCTCTCTCTTTCTTCACTTTCTCTTTCTCACTCTACAGCCGTCCGGATGCCTCATTCATGTGGTTCCTAAACCCACTCAAATCCATACGCTACATTGTCTGGCATAACTACAAGTGGGCTATACTGAAAGCGTTGCTTATTTGTGCAATCTGTTTCTTCTTCATACTCTTCGTTTATTCTGTTCCTGGATATTCGGTCAAACGATTACTCGGTGCATAAGCTCAGTAAAATACATATTGATGGAAGTCATCAGAGACCAAAAAGTATTTTATTACAGACATATTACATTATATTAATTCTGTTCGTTGCTCACATGGGCAGTAACAATTTTTGCCAAACTTTACCAGAGCATGTTCGTTGAGCCGAAAATTGAATTTTTATCAACAAACTAAAATTTATTCAAAATGAAATTAATATTAACTAAGAACCCAAATGTAATTTTTTAAAACAAATTTAATACTATCGACGATTAAATAGTTAAGGTACTCATTAAATGAGAATAATGTGGCAATAGAGCAGAATCATCATCGCCCGCATATCACCCAGCTTGCGTTGATAAATTAGAAGTTAGGAAGGTATAGAATTTAAATATATTATTATTTTTTGTACAGCACAAGTTTATTTTGGTATTCTAGAATGTACTAGAAGGCAGTGTCGACCGAATGAGCTGCAATACATTACCGGTCACAATGGCGATAAATGCATTTTTAAGCTTCCGGATGCGATAACGATGCTTAAAACGCAATATTACTGGCGCTTAGAAGGAAAAATAATTCCAAGCTCTAGTTTTCCATCTTCTTCCTTTCAGAGAACTATTAGAAAAATCGCATTGGTATCTATATCGTTTTACGGCTACAAAACATGTTTAACTTCTTAGTTGAGTTAAAGCGACTGCTGGTCAACCCCAGCACACTTAAGCCAATAGACCCATTGCGATACCGCTGAGCCTCCTGCCTTCACCTCCTCAAGGCGGATGTCAAGGCTGGGCAGTGGCAGAGGTAGTGCTCGATAGCCTCCTCCTCTTCTTTGTCCCTACAGCCGCGGCAGAAGTCGTTAGAGTAAAAGCCCATCCTAATCCAGTGAAGCCCCATTAAATAGTGTCCAGTTATTAAACCCATCGCTATGCTAATGTAGAACTCATTCAACTATCGTGAGTCAGCTTTCCTGATGAAGGCCAGTTTAATCATGTACTTAGCCGTGGACAGATCATAGATAGAAAGTTTCCTTCCCTTGCTAGTTCGTCTGCCATGCAATTGCCTGGGATGTTCCTATGTACAGGTACCTAGCCCACGGAAGTAGTGTACTTCGTTGAGAGTTTGTTGAGAGTTTTTCTACAGTTTATGGCCACATTTTCTACAGATCTGATTGCAGCCTGACTGAAGGAGTATATTGTTACCGATTGTCCTGCTGCCGATGATTTGAGCAACCATTGTGCTGCCTCCATGATTGCGCAGAGTTCCGCCTGGAAAGCGCTGCAATACTCATGCTTACTGTAAGCACGGAAGAATAAATTCCGAAACCCACACTCCCACCGAGCTTTAAGCCATCTGTGAAGACGGCTATTGCTCCCTGGTCGGGGACATTGGTGTTTTCTTAGACGCATCTGTTTGGGATTCTCGTGGAGAAGAAATTATCGAAGCATACACTGGAGGTGGTGTAGTTCAGCTCCTTTGGCACTTCTTCTTATTGCGTTGCAACCCGCTTGTAGTTTCTCGTATGCGTCCAGAGGACCTAATTTGCTCCTGAAGGTGATTTTATCGAGGACCGGCTACCAGACGGTGACCACGTAGAATAAGATTGGTCTAACTACCAATGTGTATATCCAATGCACGATACTCGGTCTTAAGCCCCATCTCTTTCCTATCGCCGTTTTACAGGCGTAAAATGTCATTATAGCTTTCCTTGATCTTTCTGCCGTGTCCGGCTCAAATTTAGTTTGTTATCTGAGACTATCCCAAGGTATTTAACTTCGGGAGAAGGTAATCTCCACGCCCCTTAGTTTGGGTGGTTTAAAGGCATGCGGTTTGTACCTCCTAGTAAATAGCACCATCTCGATTTTATCAGGGTTCACGTCCAGCCTGCTATCTCTGCATCATCTCTCAACTTTACAAACAGCATTTTGGAATAAATCCCTTAAAGTTGGTAGGTGTTTGCCTGCCGCTGTAGTAGTTTCCTAATCAGCGTGTTCGCTGTTAAGCACCACAGCAGTGGCAATAAAACTTGAGGGGTGCCACTCGCTGTGTGTCTGGTGTCCATCTCTGCGAAGATGATCCTATTCCTCAGAAGCGACACTACGAGATTCACTATGGGTTGTTGAAGACCCATTTCCTGAGAAGCCTCTATTACGAAGGCAGGGAGAATGTTATTGAAAGCCCCCTCGATATCGTGGAAAATGACTAGTGTATACTTTTTCACGGCAAGTCCTTTATCGATGCTCTAACTTCGTAGTAGCTAAAATACAATTAATAAATAAAAAATGCCAACTAATTGCCAATTTTATTAACAGTTAATAGCTCCGTTCGATGAGAAGTGTCAGTAAGAATTAATCAATAACGAAATGTCAAAATTGTGCTCTCTCGGTGTAAATTTAATTGGCTTTTTGTCTCATCAAATGCAATTCGGTAAAAAATGGCAAAAATTGTTGCTGCCCATCAGCTCACCGAACAGCACTGATGTGAGGTCTGTTATACTAGTCTTTAAATTTAGTTTTACCCACATTATTACCTTTTTACATACATACTTACCTGGATGAACTCAATCCATTACAAATTGAAATTATCTAACAGTGTGTCTAATGCAAAAGTGATTATGCGTGAATGGTACGACGTACCTGATTTTACTTGTAGTGCAATCATATCAGTAAAATTAGTTAGTGGAAATTGTAGAATATCTTATGAAAAATGTGTCAGGACTATGCAAGTAGTTGAACTAAAGTGCAAAAGGTTTGAAAATATTGTATTAGCAGACAGAAATATAGCGAATATATTTTATGAAGCAGTATGTGGGGGCTAAGTAAGAACAAAAAAACAAAAAATTAATAAAAAAGTATTGAAAATAAAATAATTACAGATATAGTTCAAACCGAAACTATGTGAGTTGTATTTACGAATTTTACAGCAAATTAGCTACAATTTACCCTAAAACAATCATATACATGAATGCATACATATTTACAATCATACAAATGTACGTACTACTTGCGAATTGTGCTCTATTTTACAAATTGTAAGGCGTATGAATAACAATTAAAAATAGTACTTAATGTTCTTGCTCTTAAAAAAACTTAAATCAAAAAAAAGAATTAAACATTTAAAGCATAACTAAAAATGTTAAATTTACTAAAATTACTTCGCTTATGTAAATTTGAAAATGTTTAAAAATGTATTACACATATTTGTTAAATTATTAAATTTTCTTAATTACATATATTTTAAAACAATTTACTAAACATCGTTATTATACATATTTACAATGCATGTAAAACTTAAGCGTTGCCTCTCATTAGTGTACTTGTACTTGTTACAATAAACTATTTTAGAATTATGCACTTGAATTAATTTTGCTCAATATCAATATAAATAATTCACCTTCGGATATACAAAAACAAAAAATACACTTTGTATAATTAATTAATTAGTTTTTAATGAAAATAATATTTAAAATTAATAAAAATGCGTTCCAGTCATTCTGTTTGCTTTATTTACGAAAAATCTTAAAGTATTATTCTTCAACTACAAAAAAAAAAAAAAAAAAACAACACATGGAATATAAGGTCATGGCATAAATTATCACTTAAACAACAAATCCGCGAAGGTATGTCCGTTGTATGCTATATAAATATTTGAAAAAAATATTTCAACTCTAAATAACAGAGTTAAATTTGTATACTATTATAAATAATACTTAGCCTATATTTGGTTGTAAATTTAAGGAAACTTTAAAAATATTTACACTTTTCACACATACATATGTTTTCAAACTACTACTTTTTCTTGTGTGCATTAATTCGTGCGGTTTTCTAAGAGAGGGCTCTACTTGTATTATTTCGCGTCGTGTTTATCTGTGGCTATATTCATATCAAATGTACTGTCATTTCGCGTCGTTTTCAGTAAATGTCATTTGTTTTAGCGTTTGTTTCGTTCATTTTAAAATGTCGAAATTTGTACCAGTTAAAGTGTTTTTGTAGGAGTTCTTCTTCATTACTTTAACATGAGGAAAAGTGCTACCGAAAGCCATAATATTTTACTGGACGTTTATGGTGACCCTGCCTTAGCTGAACGAACGCGCCAAAAGTGGTTTGCACGGTTTAAAAGTGGCAATTTCGACTTAGACGACGGAGAACGACCCGGATAAAGAACTTCAAGGCGAAGATTTGAAGACATTGCTCGACGCAGATGCATGCCAGACGCAAGAAGAACTTCTAAAAGTATTAGGAGTTCATCAAGCAACCGTTTCCAGACGATTTAAATCATTAGGATTCATCCAGAAGCTTGGAAATTGGGTGCCTTATGAATTAAAGCCAAGAGACGTCGAACGTCGATTCTGCATGTCGGAAATGTTGCTTCAGCGCCAACAAAAAAAAGTGAATTTTGCATCGGATTTTCACTGGCGATAAAAAATGGATTCATTATGTTAACCCGAAGCGCAAGAGATCGTATGTGAAGCCCGGCCAACCATCGACATTCACGGTAAAGCCGAATATCGATGCTGCAAAGGTTATGCAATGTATTTGGTGGGACCTCAAGGGTGTGCCCTATTATGAGCTATTGAAATTGGGTCAGACCATGAATGGGGATCTCTACCAGAAACAATTGATTCGTTTGAAAAAGGCCATCGTGAAAAAACTATCAGAATATGTGACAATCAACGCTCGGCCACATGTTGCAAGGCCAGTTAAAAACTATTTGGAAAACTGTGGGTGGAAAGTTCTACCTAATCCGCCCTATAGCCCAGACATAATACCTTCCGATTACCGCTTGTTCAGATCAATACAGAATGCCCTCATCGGAGTACGTTTCACTTCAGAACAGGGTCTCAGAAATTGGTTCGATTCTTTCTTAACCTCCAAGCCGGAGAAGTTCTTTTGGAATGGGATTCACAAACTGCCAGAAAGATGGGCAAACATCGTAGCTTACGACGGGCAATACTTTGTACATTAAATGTATAACAATTTTTTCACAGCAGAGTCTTAATTTTCGGAAAAAACCACACGAATTAATGCTTACACACAATATTTTTTCTATTGTAGTACGAATTTAATACACAAATTTTAATTATATATTAGAAGAACTGGCATTCAGCTGATAATTGAGTTAAAACACCGATCTTTATGTTTAAACAATATAGGCAAATATAGTCTGGGGTGTTACAGAGTTACATGGATGTCAAAACCAGAATTGAAATCGACAAAATTCTCCTTCAGGAGTTACACATTATTCCAATTATTAATTTGCCCATCGGCTTCATTTTCGAAACAGAATTTGCATGAATTACAGAAACCGATTTATCGACTTAAAAGTCAGAAATAAATCGCACAGTTGGAAAAAAAAAGTTTAGCTACAGGAAAACATAAAAATGCGCCACAAATTGGTTTTTTTTTTATTGAATTCATGGAAAACTATGCGGTTTTGATCAAGAGCTTTACAAAGAGTGATAAATCTGTTGTGGTGTCTTTATGGCGCTGGTCCATCAAACAAAGTACTCGTATTAAAGGATCGGAAAATGGTATGCGTAATTTCCAGTAATTTTTCTTCAATTATTTTCTTGATGTCATTTTTGATTTTTTTTTTTTTGTATGTATATTTGGAGAAGCGATGGCCAACTGGGGTGGATCATTCACAAAACACCAAAACACCACCTTGATTAACCGTTAAAAAGCCTTAACACTACTGTTTAACCGCCGCGCTAAGGAGATATTTAAACAATTGCCCACAGATCCTTGATAGGCGCCCTACTGGGAAAGCAGTGTCGCAGCAAATGGATAGACAGCCTATCCAACTTGTCTTCAATGACATCCAGCAATATTACAAAGACGATGTTTGTCTATGAATCTACATTCAAATGTAATAGTAGAATGCAAATTGCACTTATGTACTTCGACTGTGGCAGCTTCAGCGGATTGCTCTAGTCACCGTTCTTCTTCTCTAAGTTCTTTTATCATTAAAAATGCTATCCCAGAAATCACAAATGTATTAATGCCAGTTCAAAAATAAATCGAATTGCTGGGTTTTTCGCACAGCTGATTTGTTTCCAGCTGACTTGAGATTGCAGATTATCTGCGAAAAAAGCAAAATCAAGTCATTCGAAATAAGCAATTCTCCGTCGGCTTCTATAACACCCCTCAATATTAGGCTTGCATGCCAAAACCAGTTAATTCGTTTCTATCAAAACTTACTTACATATGTGTACCTAATATTTACTTTAAAATACCTATTTTATTACTAAAAAAAAAAATACCAAACATCAACTAATCAACGTTGTAGTTTCAACTCATAAATGCGTCGACTGAACATTTCGTCGCATCATTAAACGACCCGTGTTTGGGTAAAAGCTGCGTTTTGGCAAATTTAATACCTTCGGTATGACTTTTATTACATAATCGGGTAGGAGACACGATATGACAGTGATTATTGTAAAAAGCCAAACGGGAAGCGAAGATAACAATTTGTTGTAAGCCCAATAGATATCGGTGTCGAAGTCCCTGTAATAAAAAAAATATTAATTTATTGTCAGACACTCTTCAACATTTCTTTCGATTATCTATCGCAATCTAATTTTCTTTTTTCAAATATATATTTTTTTTTTGCAAATTATGCCATACTTACAAATCGATTACATTATAGACGATCGTAGTTACTATGAACGCCGCAATCGAACCGAGGATCGTCGCTATATACCAAAAGCTCAGGTACTTGGACTCAAGCAGCAATTTTAAATTGACCACAACAACAACAATTTCAATAAGAAGCGCCCCAAAACAAGAGAACTCAGCCGGTTGACCGATATTCAATAGCACAGGATTTGTGGTGAATATGTAGTATGTAAAGAAGTATGTGATCAGCGTGTGATAGACGGCAAACAATATCCAACCAATGAAGTACTCCCAATGTAGATCCTTATTGCCAATATTTTTTTTATAAAGCTCGGGCTGCCTGCAAGAAAATGAACATTCATTAAATCTTACTTTAAAGACCTGAAATAAAATTATCTTACTTCAGTAGTGTCTCTTCGCTGAATTTTTTCTCAGTAAGAGATATAAATAAAATCGGCAATGACGTGTAAATCACATTGTATAGCGTCAGAAAGAGTGAGTCGTACACGGACTGCGATGAGAATAGAGTGTAGAATTGGAAGAGGAACATTATACCCATAAATACTATGTTCTTATAAAAGAAATAGAGTACTAAAAAGGACAAACGCGTTGTATGATAATGTCCATGTACCAATATCAAACGTTTGAGCATAGAAAACTTTGCAAAAGAAAAATCAGCACAACGCGCAGCTTGACGACCCTCTTTGCCCATAATACCTAGTCCCACGTGTGCCTCTTGAATCATCGATACGTCATTTGCACCATCACCCACAGCCGCCGTTGTGTAATTTTCTTTAGAAGTTCTTATTAACGAAACCACCTCACTCTTCTGCAATGGACTTAGGCGACAGCAAAGCACAGCGGTGCATTTAATAGCTATATCACGGAACATTTCGGGTGTTTCATTCAGTGCTATGGTTAAACTTTTACCATCAATTAGTAGCGCACATTGAGCACCAATACCAAAAACAATTTCACGGTCCAATGCATTTAAGTGCACCAGCATATCCTCTTTCGATCGGCAATCGATGATAAAATACTTGATGGCATCGGGAGGTATGTGGCCACAAGAGAGCGCTATATTGAGTGCCGTTTCTATTTTGTCACCGGTCAGCACCCAAATTTTGATACCGGCTTTTTGTAGGGAGATAAGTGTGTCAGCCACATCATCCTGTAAGGCATCTTCGACGGCGGTAGAGCCGAGTAACTCAAGATCTGAAAATTTTAATACACGTATGTGTTATAGGTATATTTTATATGTGTATGTTGTCTCAAGTTATTAACTCACTGCACTCCATTTTGGCATATGTTCGCTCCAATAGCTCTTTTCGATTTTCTAGTGAACTATTCGCGTCATTTACTTCATCCATGAAACTTCTATATTCTTCATCGCCAACGCGTCGTCTCGCCACTGCTAACGTTCGTAGACCTTGTCGGGCGAAATCGCTTATATGCGCATCGGTGCGTGTTATAATATTTGATTGATTATTGGCACAGAGTGGAAACACATAACTCTCAGCACCTTTAGTGTAAATCCACTTAGTACCATTTTCATCCTTTACAATCACACTCATACGCTTGCGATCGGATGTGAATTCCAATACGTGTAAGCGACTGAAATGCATTTCATTCACTTTGCCAACGCTAAAGGGTCGCGAGTAGTCCATGTGTGGAGGCACGATACGTATGCGTAAGACCTCATCATCATCACCCATATAAACGAGGCCAAGATTGGCACAGGCTTCGACGAGCGCTTTTTCGTCAGGACTAGAGGCTTGATAGTCGAGTGTGCTACACAAAAAAAAATAAATAAAATTTTAATATTATGGTCAGAATGTATTTCATAAATATCAGGCAAAGGCATGCGTACTGTACAACTTGTTCGATTTCGTGCTTGCGACGCTGTGACTCGGCGCGTATTAAAAGCGTGGGCTGGCGTTGAAAGTTAGGTGCTGCGTAGGATTCTCGCGACGTATTGCTAGCTGTACGTAACACAACTCCGCCTCGTTGTACTGCAAATATACGATTGCAATAAAGTCTACATACAAAATATAACTAAGAATGAAACCTACGTGTTTGCGATAAGTATGCTCCCGGCGCGCCATAAGACTGCGATCTCTTATGTCCTGTGGGAGAAGGAACAACTGCAACATCTGGTAAATCTATGGCCGATGTTGAACGAGTGAAAGGTAGTGATGAGGGGCGTGACTCCGGGCTCAATAACATGTTGGGCTCAGTAGAACGGCTAACCATTTCTATGGAGCATTCCATAGAATTTTCATATTGTGTTGAGCCTGTTGAAATCGGATGTATTCTCGAGGAGGCACGAGTAAAATTTGGACTTCGCTTGACAATCACTGGTCGTTTGCGTTTCTCAATTTTATTTACTTCATCAAGTAAAGGATTAATGTCAGATGTCATATGCGTTGCAACCGAGCCATTGGAAGTAACATTATTGGATATGTTTGTAATATCATTACTGCTAATGCCATCAGGCGTTGTACCATTTGGATTATTACACAGCGAAGTTTCTAAGGAATTTGTGTTTTCCAAATTTACACCACTTTGTCGACTAGAATTGTTACTCTCTTCAGTGATATTTGATATGGAATACACTTTAGGGGCTACATTCCTACCATTTACAGCTTTGTTGGCAGTTTCAACTTCTTCAGTGGTATTTTCATTGGAATCTCCAGCTACCTGAACGGTATGACATATGGCCAGCGCTTGAAAGAAATTCTTTTGATCTTTCTGAAAAATATACAATCCACTTGAGAGAATTAGCGGTAAAACAATGTATGGTGAAGAGTGATATTGTCTAATAAATAATAATATACTAGTAGAACTCTAAACTATAATATACTAGGAGAAGGTTTCCCAGAAAGTTAATATTAAGAACTGATATGTTAATAGGTTTAGCTCAAAAATTTGCTATAATTTCTGGTAAAACGTTGCAAATAAGCAAAAATCTATATTTAATTGTCAAGTACGATATTTGCCCATATTTCTGGCAGTTTGTGGATCCCATCCTAAAAGAACTTCTCCGGCTTGGAGGTCAAGAAAGAATCGAGCCAATTTCTGAGACCCTGTTCTGAAGTGAAACGTACTCCGATGAGGGCATTCTGTATTGATCTGAACAAGCGGTAATCGGAAGGTATTATGTCTGGGCTATAGGGCGGATTAGGTAGAACTTTCCACCCACAGTTTTCCAAATAGTTTTTAACTGGCCTTGCAACATGTGGCCGAGCGTTGATTGTCACATATTCTGATAGTTTTTTCACGATGGCCTTTTTCAAACGAATCAATTGTTTCTGGTAGAGATCCCCATTCATGGTCTGACCCAATTTCAATAGCTCATAATAGGGCACACCCTTGAGGTCCCACCAAATACATTGCATAACCTTTGCAGCATCGATATTCGGCTTTACCGTGAATGTCGATGGTTGGCCGGGCTTCACATACGATCTCTTGCGCTTCGGGTTAACATAATGAATCCATTTTTTATCGCCAGTGAAAATCCGATGCAAAATTCACTTTTTTTTGTTGGCGCTGAAGCAACATTTTCGACATGCATAATCGACGTTCGACGTCTCTTGGCTTTAATTCATAAGGCACCCGATTTCCAAGCTTCTGGATGAATCCTAATGATTTAAATCGTCTGGAAACGATAGCTTATTCAACGCCTAGTACTTTGCAAGTTCTTCTTGCGTCTGGCATGCATCTGCGTTGAGCAATATCTCCAATTCTTCATCTTGAAATTTTTTTGGCTGTCCGTCGTCTAAGTCGAAATTTTTTGGCACGTTCGGTCGGCTTAAGCATGGTCACCATAAACGTCCAGAAAAATACGATGGCTTTCCTCATGTTAAAGTAATGAAGAAGAACTCCCAGCAAAAACACTTTGTCTAGTACAAATTTCTACATTTTCAAATGAATGAAACAAATTGTTGTTAACGCTAAAATAAATGACATCTACTGAAAACGACGCAAAATCACAGTACCTTTGAAATGAATATAGCCAGAGATGAACACGACGCGAAATAATACAAGTAGAGCCCTCTCTTACATATATGGAGTGATTTGTACGCTTTGGAAAATAAAGTAATGTAAAGTAGATCACAAATTGAAAAGACTCCATAGATACATTTGATGTCAATGATGCAAGAAAAAGGGGTTTCCAGATGTTATTTTGAATATTCTGCTATTCCAGTAGATGTCACTTTAGAAGCTCTAATTTTTTGACATTTGACGACCCTTCAACAGCGCATAGAAATTATTTAAATTCCATAAAAAATGGTGAAAATCTGGCAGAGACGGTTCGTAAAACTAAAACCTTTTTCGGTCGTCGTGAAGCACGTTGTCGTAACGCAATCTAGATATTGGGGATGAAAATGAGGAGCTGTTGGGACAAGTTAGTGATGTAAAGAAAAAACACAAGCACGTCGCTCAAGAACAACTGCGAATATTGCTGCTGTAGCCCAAAGTGTGAAAGAAACCCCAGGTTTTTCTATTACTCATCGTTCTTTGAACTTGGGCATTCCACAAACATCATAACATCGTATTTTGCTGATGGGTCCTGAAAATGCATGAAAATTATCAAGAATTTCATCGAAAAATCATCTTGACTGATGTGTCCCTATTCCGCCTTAATGGTTACGTAAGTAAAAGTGTTGCATCTGTGACTCGGAAAACCCAAGATTTATTGGTGAAAAGCCTCTCCATCTTCAACATGTAACTTTTTGACGTGGTCATTAGACTTTCATTTTTCGAAAATGAATAGATTGGGCGACCGAAAGATGATTAATGATATTTTATGGCCGAATTTGGATGATATTGATTTGGAAAACGTTTACTTTAAACAAAACGGGGCTACGACAACATCGATATTTTAAGGTAAAAGTAAGGGAGAAGTGAAAGAGGAGATCTATGAGAACAGGCCAGCGTGAATTCAAGACCTCAAAGAACTCAAAGAAGGAATTCGGGAAGCTATTGAGAGCCAGTTTGCGATTTGGTGATGGAAAATTTTATAAAAATGATACGCTTCCGTAAGCGTAGCCGATCTTCTTAAGGAAAAGTTTCTTTGAACATCAACACCGCTTATTGGAAACCCTTTTGTAAGCCCTCGGACGTTTTGGGATTTTTGCATGAAAATATATTGTTTGGTAAAAAAAGGCATCCGCAAACAAATAAAAAAATATCCACAACAACCCTTTCATTTAACGAAATGTGATCTTTCGGACTTTATATTGCATGGGAACTTGACTATGAGCAACTATTGTAGGATAAAAGTGGTTACCGTGTTTATTTACTGCTGACCCAAAACAAAAAAGTTTTGTTTAGACGTATTAAATCGGTGTTTTTCCATTGATATTCGGCAATGGGTGAAACATAGATTCATCACTTTACTCCGAAATGAAATCAACCGCCGTTTGAATGGACGGCAACTGGTAGAGCTGAAAGCATTTTCTTCTCCCGGATGCCTCCGCGTAAGAGGTGACTAACATCCAATAGCGCGGGAACTATACCGGAACCGGACAGGAATTTTTATCCGGCCAAGGACTGTCACTCTCGCAACATTCCCCAGAAATAACAAAAACAACAAGCCTCTGGAAAGATTATTAAAACGTTGGAGCGCCGGAATTGCAAAGAATTGTATTTTTTTCTTATCAACACTCCCGCTCAAAAGTAAATCCAGAGAATAGCGAAACTACATGAATTTACCTTCCTGTGACTAATAACTGCATTCCACCCCAAGACAAATGGTCACCGGTAAGATTTTTCGGTCGAATAAAGAGTTTATATATAGAGAGAGAGTTTTTTATGAAACTGAGGCCTATTCGAGGTCAAAGATAAATCGTTCTACAAATATGGTAGAACTAAAGAGGAGCCCCGTTTTCTTTGTTATGTACGAAACTTCTCAGCCCATTTGTAATATAAAGGAACTACTCTGAATCGACCGAGCTCGCTCTCCTTTTTCTTTGCAGGGTGATTCTTGATGTTCTTCTAACGAATGGGGGGATCTACAGTTTATTATAAGCGGACCTTGTACGACTGATAGATTTTTAATGAATTAGCTTTAATTTTATGTCAGAAATACACTTGGAAGGCTTCAAATTCTCTACCGAGGCGTGGCCGCAATTAGGGAAATTAGCTTTCTATAGTCGATCCTAGCCATTCAAATGGCAGTACGCAATGCCTACCACTCGGATATTCTGCATTTTAGTCAGTCAAACAAAAACCAGCTTTTTGTTTTTAGTTCTCGATATTTACCAATCTCCTACTCAACGTGGGTCGGTGTCAAGGAAACCTGAAAGGGTTCCGTACGTAATTTGGTATGCGGGAGGTGGGAAACAGTTCTAAATAATTATAATAATAATATAAACTTACACTGAAATGGTTTATATCAATTAACGCGCTACTTCCATCTTCTTGTAAGCGCGTCTTCTTATAAGTATACTTTCGGCCATTTATCGAGCACTGTTGAAATATCATTTCGTTCTTCGTTAGGGTACCGGTTTTATCGGAAAACAATATATTTATCTGACCCAACTCCTCATTCAAATTCGATGTATTTACAATGAATTGTTCATCGGTTGCCTCATCGTACAATTGTAAATCCCATTCCATGAAGAAACCACCAATACCACGTTGCAATTCAATGGTAACATATAAAGATATTGGTATCAGATAATTGAAGAGTATCAGAAATGATAAGTAATCCTGAAGGAATTGTCTCACACTATAACCGTCTGCAGCAGGACCTAAGTATGCAAGTTTCGGTATAACATAGATTTCTTCATAACTGTGAAGCAAAGGACAATTAAATTTTTATTGCAGTACAACATTTGCAACAGGATCAACTTGACTCACCGTTTAAATAAGTACATCATGGTGACGATCACAATGAGCATAAGTAGTATCACCACCAAAAAGCGATTCACATACGTCTCACTGGAGGCAGTTTTATTACGCGTTAAGCGACTGTTCAGCTGCAATTTCGTAGTCATGCCAGTGTAAACAGCGCACCCAATCACACATTCAGTATTCTTAACGCGCGAACCACGTAATAGCACATTATCCGAAGACAGCGGCAATATGCGTCCCTCTCCGCCAGCCAACTCTATTTTACCATTGAAACTGTAAAGATCAGTCTTTGGGCTCTCGCACTCGATAACACCCAGCTTATGCAGCTCATTTATATCGAGCATTGGCAAATCTCTAGGGACGGTGAGCGTTTTCAAATTGGATTCCCCATCCAAATTGGCTGTTGTTATGAAGCATTTGCCATGTGGATCTGTACTGCGTAACAATACTAAATCACAAGGCACATCACAATCACGTTCTATCACAACCAGATCACCCGGACAAATGTATTGCGATTGTATGTTTGTCTCCACACCGTTGCGTATCACCGTCACTAAATCACAGTAAATTACTATTTGAATTGTTCGATTATCGAATGAAACGCACCTGGTGAACGATTAACGACATTGTCGGTCCTGTAGCGTAAGAAGTCTTCATAGCCCTGCTTAGCGGCCGTCACAGCAATCACAAAAACCAATGGCAGTAAGGATGTTAATGGTGAGACCGGACTGTCTGAGAGGAAAAAATATAAAATATATAATCTAAATAATAATTTGTAATAAATATATAAATTTAAAAAACTTATTTAATTTTTTATTTATTTGAATGAAAAAATAAATAATCTCTCCCCCAACACAACACTTCTTGTAACACTTCTGATCATCCACCAATGTAAGTTTCCTCATATCTACTATAATTTTACCGATTCACCTGCGTTTCTATTTAGAAAAGAGCAGTACATACAAATATGCAACAAGATGTTACTTTTTGTCATTGAATATTTATTGTTGTAAAATTTTGCAAGTAGTTTTTCTTCATATTAATCTGCTAATTGACTAAGCCATCTAGTCCAGGCAAAAATTTTCATATGCGTGTATGTGGAGGGTATGAATTGAAATATTAACTTTGTTCGCCGTGTGTCGTTGGCAGAACATATAGGGCTATTCATTTTACGGTTTCGAAAATAAACACAAATGAAATAATTATTAGTTGCAGTAAAATTAAATCCATTATTTTTGCATGAAATGGAAGACTTTGATTACAATAGTTAGAATGATCCGATTTAGGTCACATATTTACCGTTTTGTTCGATAACTTGTTGCCATTTTAAAGTTAATTTCCTCATGCCCCTCTCTCATAGGAGCCCTCGTTCCTATTGACAAAAAAATGAAGCAATCGATTTTCACAAGCCTCTCATGAAGCGAATTTTTCACCAGCAAAAGTGTTTGTCATGAACGCGAACAGATGGTAATCACTTGTTGCCAGGTCCGGACTATAAGGTGGTGGCATTAGAACCTCCCAACCACCCACAACGATGTGTGTGAACTGGCGTGTCTTGATGGAATACAATACAATACAATACAATATCTCTCCTATTGGCTAAAGCAGGCCACTTTTGTTCGATTTCATCCTGCAAACGGTCCAGTTGTTGACATTACAGTTCCTAGTTAAGAGCTTTGCCGTATCAATTCCAAGCCCGCCAATCACACAGCAAAAACTTCCTGGGCGTCAATGCTGGCTTAGCCACTGTTTCACCTGGTTAAACGCGTTTCTCTTGACGTTCTCGTAACTGATCCACTTTCACCACAGATTGAAATTCGGTCCATGAGTTGTTTTTGCCTTAACTCGTGTGAAATCCATAGATCGAGCATATTTTCGTATCCTACCTCATTAAAATCGGTTTTTGTTCAATGTTTAGCTCTTGGGTAATCGAAACAGTGCTGACATGACGGTTGGACTAGACAATGCCCAGTACGTGGTGCATCTTGACATCAAAATTACCGGAACGGAATATGCGAAAGCAAAATTTCGCATGATTGGCTGGTACAGTATCAGGACCATTCGCTTTTCACAATTTCAGCCGTCTGGCTTACTTTTTCGCTGTAAAATTTAGTGTATTTTCTCTTTGCTAGTGTCCATCTTTGAAGCTCGCTCAAGCAAACTGAATCAGCCAATCAGAAAACTGTCGAACAAGTTTTTTAGTACGAAATCTCAACTTTATAACGCCATCTTACGGAACCCGATCGGACTTACTTACAGATAAATAACGCCTTCTATTGGAAAAATAATGGATTTTTTTCTACTACACCTGAGATTTCCATGAAATTCCTTGACATAATGTTTATTAGGATTAATAAAGAGAAAAAACACAAGTCAGGCAGGCAGTTTGGAACCACTTGAAAAGGGCTGTATACACAAAGAAGTTTGATACATTCCAGCTGACTTTCGTAATTGCCAAAAAGAGGATTCACGCCAAGCTCTATACTTTTAACCTTCGGAAATAAAAAAAAAATAGTTTAATCCGTCGAGAAAATAATAATCAGCATCAGGACGACTTAATTTTCAATTTGTACAGTTATGAATATATTGGAAAGAAAAATTTTTAAATTTATTAAACATTCTCTCCAGTTAAAGTGGAAAAATAATACGGAACTCAATTCTAATTGTTCCGTACATACTTTCTGAGCGTTTACGTTGGTGGCGGAACGTACTCGCATCTGTAAAACATATTTTGATTTTGAATGTTATAGGTATATTTATTAGAATTTTTCTGTTCCGGGTACGGTTTGCTTGGTTTGCCGACTGGGTAGGTAGGTTCGACGATAAGTGGTGATAATCAAGTGCATCAAAGGGATTAGTAACTAAATATAAGCAGACGGATAGGGGTTCCAATCCTCAGAATATCAATCCAAATTTGACCTTGTATTACGCCTAATGTGATTTAAGCAGACATGCTACTACTAAATGAAAGTGTTAATCTTGCAACCGCACAAAGTAATCATTGGGTGCGTTTAAAAAACTGAACGCTCAGTAAACATGCTCAGTGAGCGCTCTGCATGTTTGTGAGCGTTAAAATTTTATGCAACTTCCTACTGATCGGTCATCTGCTATATATAGAAAAAATTAATCGCGAAAATTTAAGAGTAGTTTTACTTAAGGGTACTTGTGACGAAAATTTACTAGATTTTTTGGGTTGTCGTATAGACTTTGTTGCGCCATCTGCACTAGATAAACAGGTTTTCAAAGAAAAAATTTCAAAGAAAGGTCCAAACATTGTTATGAAGAAGCTGTGCCACTTCACAATTAGTTTCGGCAGTTGAAGTATGGATATGTTTACTGAGCGCTCAGATTGCCGATGCTGTGCTATTAACAGCATACTTAAATTTTAACACATAACATTATCTGTTAAGGATTTAACATTATCTGTTATTGATTTAACATGCTTTGTTAACGATTTAACATTTTCTGTTAACGATTTAACATTAACCAAAGCACTTGGTTTCGCTTAAAAATAAAATAAAATTTATTTTGATAACTGCTTTAACGATAACATTTCCAAATGTTTCAACAGAATCGATAAAGATTTTTTGATTAACATGAAATTTGTCGTTACGATGCAACCTAGGTCTCAATCAATGATTGCTGCATTACTATGAGAAACTCGCGAAAGTAAAAAGCCAACGCCTAATTTAGTAAAATATGTAAACATCAAATCATTAAAAAAAAAAACAAATCTCGTTTCCTTATTACGAAACAATTGGAATTGAAGAGAACCTTAATTGCATGGAATTGTTAAATATTTGATGTATATGTAAATGCACACCTTTCAGCTAATTAATTTTGCCTCGAAGTACTTACAGTTTATTTAGTAATGATTTCGAAAACAATGTACATATGTGTTTACCAATGGATAAACAAGCATCTATAAAAATTAGAAAAATATTTTCAATAACAAATAATTTTCTAATTAGTAAATCTGGTTTAATTACCTCCTAATCAGCAATCAAACAAAACAATTAAACTTCTGTTACAGATAATCACTTTTGCCATACGTTACTTACACATTTATGTAAGTACTCGTACATACATATATACTATATGCAAACATGTTTATTTATGTGTTGAATTGTAATTAATTAATTTAAACAAAAAAAAACACATTCATATTTACATATGTATGCCACACAATCTAAGTTTTTTATCATATAGTAAATTATGAATAAATGGTTTGATTTGCTTATAGTATTTTGAATCAATTATTCGCAGCGTCATGCAAATATCAGCAACTTGTAGAATATCAGCAGCAACGAAAAATATAAAAACCATAATTCATAGTAATAAAAGTTTAATTGATTGCACATAAGAGTGTCACCACATTCATTCAATCTGCGAACTGAACTTCCAATATGCAATAGAAAACGTAATAGACAAAAAGCCAAGCAAAGAAATCATGAAAGGAATAACTAAGTTCGGCTGGAACCACAAATTGGATAACCGACTGTTTTTTTTTATTCTAATTGCAGAAAAGATACGGCTGTGGAGCTATGTAAGACAGTTCATTATACGGACAGATGTGCGTACAAGCCAGCCAACTCGCTTCCGTTTTATATGAAATACATACACATACATATATACCAGCATATATCACAATATACTCATTTATTATAAGTTTAAGTAATTTCAAGCAGCGTGGATAGATACAACAAGTATCTGGTCAAAGTTAATATACTCGATGAAAAATTACAGTTGGGTTAGAAAAAAGTAAACAAAAGAAAAAGAAGCTGAATGAATATGACGTTATATTAGCACCAAACGAACCAACCATGTATATATGTATGTATTTATGTATGTATGTATGTAGATCTATAGATACATCTTAATATACACACAAATATAATTAACGCTTAATAACCTCTTCACCGATTCTTGGCAGCGCTTTTTCGAGACTTTTGATATTTTCTCCTAAAAATTTGAGAAAAATTCTCTTTGAGATTGCTGAGAGATGAATTACAGTTAAATGGTTTCCAAAATATGACTATCAAAATATATCTCAATAATTTTTTAAATTCAGTTCCAGTGGATACTTGAACTTTTGACCCTCTAAATCAGGTATAGCCCTACAAAACGATTTTTTATATTAACAGTGAGATCTGTTAATATAACAGTTGCAATTTCTCTGAGCGTAGACTCGGGTATCTAATGTTTCGATTATGCTTAAAAATGGAACTACTTATGTATGTATGTCTAACACATTGTCCCGGAAAATATTGCAGCATCTTCTAAAATTACGAGTAAAATAAATATCAAAATTGGCGACAGTAGCTCACCAAAAGCTATGGATATACACAGGTATTAAGCGGTTCTTATAGGTGAACTAAATTTTGACCCAATAATTTTCAATTTCCACATTTAGTCAGTGTCCGTGTGAACCAAAGAGCTAATCATTCTTTCATTTCAACTTGTATCAAATCCGGTGAGCTAACACATAAACGAACAGAAATTTCTTTAAATGGACTACAGAACTGATGTGTTGAAGAAAACTTACAACATTATCACTTAAATTAACAGATTAGCGCCAATAATTAACAGAAATGTTCTGTTGAAACAACAGATAATTTTAACAGGTCAGTTATTTCAGTTGCACGAGCTCTGCATACAATTTGGAGGAAAATTTAATACAAATAAATGCATGCAGAATAATAGCCTGTTTCAAAAATTTTCTCAAACTTTTT